TGTGAGGGGCCTCGGGGGACGGGTCGCGGCGAGTGGGCTTCTTCGGCTTGCAGCGGCGCTGCTGCTTCTCCTCCCTGGGCTCTTCAGACTCTTCGGGGTCCCTGGGGTCCTTGTCCTTGGGCTCGGGCTCCTCCCCCTGCCTGGGGCCCCGGCGCTCGTGAATGCCTGGCTGTGCGCGACTAGGGGAGGTGTGGGGGCTTTGCAACTTCAGAGCGTGCAGGCGCTGGGCGAGGGACTGGCCGGAGTGGGGGTTCTTGGGCGCCACCGGGCCGCGCTCCTCTTCTGGCTCGGTCTCCGGCTCGGTGGTGGGGGCGGTCTCGGGTTCGGGGTCGGTCTCGAAATCGGTCTCAGACTCGATTTCGGACTCGGTCTCGGTCTCGGTCTCGTAGTCGAAAGATTCCTGGTACTCCAGGCACTCGGGGAGGGACAGCTCCAGGTCTGCCTCCTCGTGCTCGTGCTCGTGCTCGTGGTCGGACTCGGACTCGGGGGGCTCGGGGAATACCTGCGCGCCCGAGCGGTGGTGGGCGTTGAGGAAGCTCCGGCGCTGCTGGGCAGCCGCGCGCTGCTGGGCGCGGGCGTTGGAGGTGGCGAGGGCGCGGAGGAGCGCGATGGAGCAAGAGAGCCACAGGAGCGCGGTGGCTGCGCGGCGGCCTATGGGCGGGCACAGGTCGTTGTAATTATGGCGAGCTCGGCGCCACTGCTGAGCCCGAGACCTGCGATCCATCCTCCTCTGGGCTCACGGAGAAGCCGTCCTGCCCTCTGGCTCTGCAGAGAGAGGCTCCGAAGAAGGTGCACCTTGCGAGGTCCCAGCCCCACCTCGGTGTGAGGAGGAGGAGAGGACCCACCTCCTTGCCACTTAGAAACTTTCTACAGCTCCGCGCCGCTGCCTGCCTATCTGAGCAAAAAGGAGCGAAGGGAGGAGGTGAGGAAGGGTCTGCCTCCCAGGCTCCTCGCCGAGTCTCAGACTCTGCAGCCTAAGACCGGGAGAGGGGCCTCCGCTGGTCCTCTGCCTGGGAGAGGACAGAGGAGACTGGGGCGAGGAGAGATGGGCGGTGAGCTTCTGCGAAGTTGCGCGCCGTACTAATGCCGGGCATGTGCAGTAGGGGGCCCTCCCAGCGAGCTGCGCGGCGCGGACCCCAGTGGGCCGGCAGGTGGCAGGAGGGAACCTTGTTTGAAAGGATCTGGCGAGGTGTCGGGCAGGGAGCCTGGGGGTGCCAAGGAGCAAGCCAGCCAGCCACAGGTCCCCCGGCTGCTGGCTCCATTCTCTATGGGGTCGACCCTTCCCAGGTATTTGGGTCTCCCATGAAATGAACACAGCGTTAAGCCAGACCGGCATCTGCATGTTCAGGCCGGCGGGGCTGTAGGTGCCTGGTGATGCTTTCCCCGGCATTTTCCCAGGCCTTAATGATTTGAAGATGGTAACCTCCAGCAGTTACTAATCATGAAACCCCTTGGCAAATCTGTTACAGTGACTGCAAGAGAGATATGTCAGTCCCAAAGCAGACACCCTGCGCAGTCCCTGCACAGTCCTGGGTGTACACACAAGCATCTTCTCCAGGAAGATGCCCCACGGTGGAGGCAGTGGTTGCAAGTGTGCACCCATCGCGGCCTGAGCGGGCCTGCAAGGCAGCTCGATGGAGCCCACTGGCTGCGGAGGGCTTTTCTGTACTCTGGATTTGTAGGACTGCTTTGCTCCCTCTGGGTGCCGAGAGAGAGAAAGAGAGGGAGACGGAGACGGAGATGGAGAGAGAGAGAGAGAGAGAGAGAACCACCAGCACTACCACTAGGGCAGTGTTAGCTGCAATCCTCCCTCTGCAACTTCTCCATGCTATCTGGGCCCTGGGCACAGGCGTACTTGTGCCTGGCAAGTCCCTCTCAGGGCTGGAGGTCAGACAGCCAGCTGCACGGTAGCCTGCTCCTCATGCACCACCTCCAACCACTGCCCTAGGGCTGACCCTAAAGCTTTTATTAGACAGGTTTTCAATAAACCCATTCAACAAATATTCATCGAATGCCTAACACACACCAAGGTTTGTTCTGGGTGCTGAAGCTAGCGTAGTGAACAAAAGAAGCACTCAAGGAAAGGATATTAAGAATTCATCAGGGGGCTAGCAGGTGGCATGATGATAAAAGCACTAGACTCCCACATGGCTGACTGGTTCGAGTCCTGGACCAGGCGGCTTGCTTTCTCACTTTCCTTCTCTCTCTCTCTCTGTGTGTGTGTGTGTGTGTGTGTTCAAATTAAATAATGATGATGATGAATAAAATTAAATAATTAAAAAGTAATTGGTTGTCAATCTGGACATAATATTGTCCAGAATCCCTCTCTGCCCACCCACATGGTTTAATCTAGCTTGAATTCTCCATGAGAAAAGGATTGGCCCCTCCAGAGCGTTTGGGTGAGGGGCAGCCAGACACCACTCGGTTGGCTGTGCTTCCTCAGCCTGAAAAGTCAGACAGGCTCCGGGCGCCATGGCCTGCAGGGCGGGTGCCTGCAGTGGGAGCTCTTGAGTTCTCTCTGGAGCCTGACCATTGCTTCTGGTCTGTATGTGTCTTCAGTCTTGCCCCTCCTGTAGAGACAAAGTGCCCCTTTTGTCACAATGATAGTTCCAAAGGCGAGACAGTTCAGAGTAGTCCTTTGCATAATCTTGGAGTCCTTGGCAATGTCGACAAGTCCTGCGCGCCGGAGCGGTGGTGGGCGTTGAGGAAGCTCCGGCGCTGCTGGGCAGCCGCGCGCTGCTGGGCGCGGGCGTTGGAGGTGGCGAGGGCGCGGAGGAGCGCGATGGAGCAAGAGAGCCACAGGAGCGCGGTGGCTGCGCGGCGGCCTATGGGCGGGCACAGGTCGTTGTAATTATGGCGAGCTCGGCGCCACTGCTGAGCCCGAGACCTGCGATCCATCCTCCTCTGGGCTCACGGAGAAGCCGTCCTGCCCTCTGGCTCTGCAGAGAGAGGCTCCGAAGAAGGTGCACCTTGCGAGGTCCCAGCCCCACCTCGGTGTGAGGAGGAGGAGAGGACCCACCTCCTTGCCACTTAGAAACTTTCTACAGCTCCGCGCCGCTGCCTGCCTATCTGAGCAAAAAGGAGCGAAGGGAGGAGGTGAGGAAGGGTCTGCCTCCCAGGCTCCTCGCCGAGTCTCAGACTCTGCAGCCTAAGACCGGGAGAGGGGCCTCCGCTGGTCCTCTGCCTGGGAGAGGACAGAGGAGACTGGGGCGAGGAGAGATGGGCGGTGAGCTTCTGCGAAGTTGCGCGCCGTACTAATGCCGGGCATGTGCAGTAGGGGGCCCTCCCAGCGAGCTGCGCGGCGCGGACCCCAGTGGGCCGGCAGGTGGCAGGAGGGAACCTTGTTTGAAAGGATCTGGCGAGGTGTCGGGCAGGGAGCCTGGGGGTGCCAAGGAGCAAGCCAGCCAGCCACAGGTCCCCCGGCTGCTGGCTCCATTCTCTATGGGGTCGACCCTTCCCAGGTATTTGGGTCTCCCATGAAATGAACACAGCGTTAAGCCAGACCGGCATCTGCATGTTCAGGCCGGCGGGGCTGTAGGTGCCTGGTGATGCTTTCCCCGGCATTTTCCCAGGCCTTAATGATTTGAAGATGGTAACCTCCAGCAGTTACTAATCATGAAACCCCTTGGCAAATCTGTTACAGTGACTGCAAGAGAGATATGTCAGTCCCAAAGCAGACACCCTGCGCAGTCCCTGCACAGTCCTGGGTGTACACACAAGCATCTTCTCCAGGAAGATGCCCCACGGTGGAGGCAGTGGTTGCAAGTGTGCACCCATCGCGGCCTGAGCGGGCCTGCAAGGCAGCTCGATGGAGCCCACTGGCTGCGGAGGGCTTTTCTGTACTCTGGATTTGTAGGACTGCTTTGCTCCCTCTGGGTGCCGAGAGAGAGAAAGAGAGGGAGACGGAGACGGAGATGGAGAGAGAGAGAGAGAGAGAGAGAGAACCACCAGCACTACCACTAGGGCAGTGTTAGCTGCAATCCTCCCTCTGCAACTTCTCCATGCTATCTGGGCCCTGGGCACAGGCGTACTTGTGCCTGGCAAGTCCCTCTCAGGGCTGGAGGTCAGACAGCCAGCTGCACGGTAGCCTGCTCCTCATGCACCACCTCCAACCACTGCCCTAGGGCTGACCCTAAAGCTTTTATTAGACAGGTTTTCAATAAACCCATTCAACAAATATTCATCGAATGCCTAACACACACCAAGGTTTGTTCTGGGTGCTGAAGCTAGCGTAGTGAACAAAAGAAGCACTCAAGGAAAGGATATTAAGAATTCATCAGGGGGCTAGCAGGTGGCATGATGATAAAAGCACTAGACTCCCACATGGCTGACTGGTTCGAGTCCTGGACCAGGCGGCTTGCTTTCTCACTTTCCTTCTCTCTCTCTCTCTGTGTGTGTGTGTGTGTGTGTGTTCAAATTAAATAATGATGATGATGAATAAAATTAAATAATTAAAAAGTAATTGGTTGTCAATCTGGACATAATATTGTCCAGAATCCCTCTCTGCCCACCCACATGGTTTAATCTAGCTTGAATTCTCCATGAGAAAAGGATTGGCCCCTCCAGAGCGTTTGGGTGAGGGGCAGCCAGACACCACTCGGTTGGCTGTGCTTCCTCAGCCTGAAAAGTCAGACAGGCTCCGGGCGCCATGGCCTGCAGGGCGGGTGCCTGCAGTGGGAGCTCTTGAGTTCTCTCTGGAGCCTGACCATTGCTTCTGGTCTGTATGTGTCTTCAGTCTTGCCCCTCCTGTAGAGACAAAGTGCCCCTTTTGTCACAATGATAGTTCCAAAGGCGAGACAGTTCAGAGTAGTCCTTTGCATAATCTTGGAGTCCTTGGCAATGTCGACAAGTCTGCTGCACTCGAGCTCGCGTCGTAGGTCGGGTTCCTCTCCACTGAGTCGATGTAGGCAGACGTAAAGAAATGACCATCAGACCAGCCGATGGCGTAATGGTTACGGCGCTGTACTCCCATAGTCAACCGAGGTTTGAGTCCCCAATCAGGCGGCTTAAAACTTATGCCAGGCTCATGTGTGTATGTGCCCAAAAAATCCCAGAGGAGAATGGAGAGGGGATTACAGCATGGCCATCTCCCCTGGGAGGGGTGATTTCGTGTTTTCTGCCTCCCCGTCTCTCTCTCCAGCGAGCCCACATGCCCTATAGCAAAAAAACAAACAAACAAAAAACAGATCTCTCTTTTTAAAAAAAGGAATGAAAGAAAAGGCTCCACCTCTTCTCATTCTGGGCTTTTCCTCTGAGGTGGTCACCACGCTGCCTCCCGGAACTCCTGCCTGGTGGCTTAGGCGTGCACCCTCAGCCATTCCTCACCATGGTGGGACTCAGCCCCACACCATGCCTGTTGTAAAGCTGCCAGACCAGGGTTATGCCAGCGAGAAGGCGTGGCTCGGTGTGCCGAGAGCCTCCTCCGTGTCCCAGGTGGTGCCTATCTTGCATCTCGCATTTTGAGAGTCATTTGGCAGCATTAAAATACTGACTGGTCCTAATTAAGTGGGGCTGATGTAGCAAACCCTGCCCAGGGACGAGTGGCCACATTCCAGTTGTGTCCTGCTCCGACACTGTGCAGAGAAACCGAAGGGCCCTATGAGCACCAGCACCTGCATGGCGGTGGTCATGGTGTGAGCTGGGCAGGGTTGCTTGGTCGCTAGCCCTCAGTCCTGGCTGACGGGACGTCCTAAGGGGTCTGTGTGCATTCACCCACCAGCTTGCTTTCTGGCAGTGAAGCACAGCTCTGCTGGCAGTGAGCAGGGCATGAAGACATTGTTCAAGCTGACTTCAGGGATACTGGGGAGAGAACCAGGAATACTCGGGTGCAGGCAAAGGGCCTTCCCATGGAAACTGAGCCAACTGTCGGCAGCAAGCTGGACTCTGAGCCTTGTGCGCACGTTAAGAAAGTCCTTCATTTTTCAGATGGACAATGGAGATGGCAGCCCAGAGTCGATTGGCAAATATAGATATGCCGAAATTGCCTACGTTATTAAAAATGTGTGTTACATGATACAGAGTTTTGGACTAGATGCTGCATTAGCAATGGGCTTTCTTTGCAAGATGCATTTTAATCAGCAAATGAACATTTAACAAAACACTGCCTTTTAGAGCCCCAGTCATGCCTGGTTACAGGTCCGTGCCAGTGTCCACTCAGTGCAGGTCACAGGACGAGCAGGGCCACTGCCCTGAAATCCCGTTGCATCTGACATCTAGTGCCGAGGTCGAGCACATGGATCTGTGCAGAAAATGCTCTTTAAAATGCATTGCGTGCATGACTTTAGAAAGTGTTTGCTGCAGAGTGAATTTCAAAAAGGAGTAAGTGGGTGATGAACGACCTCAGTTGTTAGCAGCCTGAGGAACAAGGGCTGTGTCTGTCTTCTGGCAAATAAAGTGGTCATCTGTCACCTTTGGAGCTTAGCTGGAGGGAGGCTCCTCAGTCACTGGGCAGGAAAGCACAGGTTCAAGTTCATTACGGCACCAGAAAATAAGGTTTTTGTTTGGATGAATTGGGAAAAGTACTGTCTTCAGCCCCTTAACGGATTGTAGTGTGGAAGGGGCTGTAAAATTTATTTTTTGTAGCTCCAGAGGGCAAAAGTTGAACCTATGAGTAGAAGGCGTGACAGGTTTCAGCTCAACACAGGAAGAAGAGTCTAACAATTAGGGCTCTGAAGTGGGATGGGCTGCCGGGAGGTGGCTGGCTCTTTGTCAGAAGTGGTGTTAAGTCAAAGGGTAGACGATCAGGCTGGAGAAGTTGCCGGTGGTGCTCTCGAGCTGGGCAGAGTGGGACCTTAATGCCCCCAAAGTCCCTCCCGTCTCAGCCTCTGCTCCTGTGAACAGCTAGAGGCTTCCGGAGAGGGGCCCAGGCGCTGTTGACAGACATGACTTTTCCACTTCGCCTCTATTTTGAAAACAGTTGAAAGTGCAAGGGGCCCAGTGACAGGAAGGAATGTTAGGTGGCAGCTCAAGACGTGGGCACACAGGTGTGTGTGGAGGGGCTTTCACAACTGGGGAGGGCTCCGAGGCTCTTTCTTCAACAACTCCCTCACCGAGGCGAAGAGCTTGTCAAGACCATCGGTCAGTCACATCGTCCTCTTCGCTGCCGTCCGGAGCCGACTCAGAAATCACACATGAAACTGGCTGTTTAGCAGTCATGAATCGAGTCACATCTGTGACCAGCACACTCTTCAGGCAGGGCATCGTAGGGAGATGGAAGGAGCGTGGCGTGGCGGTCCTTGCTGTCACTGCAGCATGCCCCAGGTGTGAAGGCAGACCTAGTGGGCTCGGACCAGTGAGTCACAAAGTAGACCAGGGTGTCGAATGACAGCCACTCGAATCGGAAGTCCAGTGCATCTGTGGTTTTTCTGAAAGATGTGGGTTTTACCTGACGTGACTGTGAGATTCGAATTTGATTTTTCTCAAAGCCTGCGGGAGAGCTGCTTTCTGTCCAGCTGCCCTGTGTGCTCCGTGTGCAGATCCGTGTGCCGGCTGCTCGGGGGAGACAGGGATCATGTGAGTTCTCAGTCTCTCAGATAGTTGTCCTGGGTCCCAGAGACACGTTTTTCCAGGGTGAGAGTCAGATGAAGGGTGGGTTCTGCTCTGCTCGGTGAGTGAGTGTGATCACTCTTGAACCTGATTTCCGGACAGTCATTGCAAAGGCCTATTTTTGCAGATGAGGAGCTTTTCAGACGTCCCTTTGGTCAGAAATGAATTCAGGGTGCTTGCCGGGCTTCCCGCCCTCACTGCGGCAGTCAGCCAGTGTGGCTCAGTCCCACCCGGGACCCCGCACTGCTGCCCTCAGCTGCCTCCCCAAGGGGCCTGGGTACAGCCAGGGGCCTTTGGCTCTGTCTCTCAGGTCTCTGTTTTGCTGTCTTTCGGGCGGCACCGGGGCCGCTTGGCTCTCCCGATTTCATGACTTGGGGGTGCCGTCCAGGGTGGAAGGAGACAATAGGAGGAAATGGTCACCTTCTTGCCGGGGTTGGCCTCTGTCCAGGCCATTGTCAGGACTACAATACAGTATTTGTATCACTCGTTTTTATAGGGCGGCAGGATCAGATATGAGCCAGGCTCCTGTGCACGGGGATTGTTAGGGTTGT